CGCGGGGAAATAAGAGGCTGGCTAATGTTTAGAGGAGAATTCAAGGATATGCTGTCCTCCTTTTTCCTCGATAGGCGCCACCGCCTCCTCTTATCCCTGTCCGGGGATGCCATCTCTGGGCTAGCCAAACTAGCCGAAGTCTGCGTCTCAACCTGATCAGGATCAGACATATCGTTGTATGACGTGACCGAAGTCGGCGGAGATTCTCGTGGTTTGAGTTGTGCCTCAGAGGCATTGTGGGGATGCACGGTGGTTGAGGGCATAGAAGGCACCTGGGATGCCTTCGGCGTAGAGTCGCTGGGGGAAGGCGCAGGTTGTCCGCCCGACACTACCGCATCAAGGTTTCCGGGCAAGGATGGGACCGTATCCATGGGGTTCGCAGCTTCGACACTGGGCGATGCTGTTGCTGAGCGAGGAAGCGACATCGTCGAGCTATGAGCACTATAATGACCTCCGGCTCCTGGCATCTTCTTCTTCAGCTTGTTAGGCTGTCGAAGTTCGTTTTCCCCAGTGGGCGCTCTCTGGAAGATATTTGATATGTTGGGTATGCGGCGTTCCTTGGAAGGCGTTGCGGCCTCGGCCTCGGCATCTAACAGCTTTTCCCGACTCCTGGTAGCCGAGACAGAATGATTAGGTAGCAAACTCGAAGGAGCTGTGGATGTGACTATGGATGGTACCGAAGATTCTTCCGGGGGTGTAGCGACCTCGTGAACAACCGCTGGCGCTGGTGGCAGTACTGTCGGCGTAGGAGGCGTAACTCCAGGAACTGACGGCGGATGAACCGGCGTTAAGGGGCCGACTGGGGAACTAGACGCATCATATCGATGCGCGAATCTTCCGGGCGGCACGCGAGGCGATCGTTTCGATGGCAAGGTGTTGCTCCGGCCCAAACCTCCCGTAGGTGTGGAAGTTAATGCAGGGCTTCCAGGACTCGGCGCTCCATTCGAAGCAAGAGAACGTCTTGAGGATGTCGACTTATTTCTCCTAATCATGCCTTCCTTGGAAACACTTTCGGCACCAGCGCTGGCATTTGATGCTGTCCGGTTCACTCCAGGTTGATAGTTCTTTGGTATCTCCGGGGCGTTGATGGTAGGCGTCCCCTTCTGGACCTCCTGAACCGTCCTCTCATCGGCCGCTGTACCTTGCATGCCGATGAGGAAATGATCCTGGTTCTCAATGAGAAAAATAATGACGCATTGGTTGAGGCGATACTCCTCGGGTGCCATAGCGTGGGCCGGATGGGAGAGCATGCCTGGCTGGAAAATGGCAGCCAGGTTCTGCGAGTTCATGCGGTTAACGTCAGACTTAGCGGCGAAGACGGCGAGCAAGTCCAAGATATAAAGCATCAGCTGGCGATTGAGGGGCGGCAACTCGGTAATCAGCTGCTGGTATCTGAGGATGGCGGCGTCCATGTCGAAATTCTCGACAAACTGGGGGCCATCGGTATCACCTGCGGCCTGCCTAGTGGCTCCTTTCAGCGGTTTTCGAAACTCCTCATATAGTTCGAGAGGGACCACCGGCTCCGGGAGGTCGTTGAGGTAGCGACGGAGGACATTGGCGGCATCGTGAACTGTGTATCCATCCCACACCAACCCCTTGCCGTATCGGTCTGGCGAATCGAAGATGTGTTTGAGTTCCTTGATCCTTTTCTCTGAACCACTGAGACGAAAGATGCCCTCAACGTCGGTTGCTTGGATGAAAAGTTAGGACTCTCCAAAGGTATGCCACAGGATGGAAGGGGGGGAGAGGGCGGGGGGATGCTATACGAACCCTTTTCCTTCAAGAAAACACCACATTTGGCAACCACGATGGGGACGTAACCGTAGATGTAGCTTTTCCCATTTTCGTCGACAAGGGATATGGCAACATTGGCATACTTGATGCTATCGCGAAGGGGGACGCCAAAGATGCCTTTGGGCGGTTCTGCTACTACTGATTTGGTTTTAGCGGAGTCTTGCACCGGCCAGGGTCCATTTACGCCAGTACATCTTCTACTAAGACGCCAGTTCAGGAAGCGAGCAAGAGTGTCTAGTTGGAGAGGCTTCTCATAGAAAAGTGCGCCAGTGGACATCCGATTTAAGCTCACACTTGTTTGCTGAGATCGGGCATTCGCTCGGGCTGCGATGAGGAGCTCCTGCGCAACTATCTCCTGCAAGAGGGCCACAGCTTCCGGCAGGTCGCTTAGACAGCCTTCTTTGTCCTCCGCAAATAAGGATGTTGATCGGTAGGGCTTAGATCTAGTGAACGGGGTGGCTATACCGTGTGCTTCCTGATGCTTCGAGGGTAGCTTGAAGCCTTTCCACCACGACTTGAGGTCTCGCTTTGTGGGCAGTGGAGGTTGCGGCTGGTGCGCAAAGGCACTGTAGGGATTGTATGCTCGATGCTGCGGCTGCGACAGCGACTGGGTATGCGAGTGCGAATGCGCCTGGGCCTGGGCCTGTGCCTGTGCCTGTGTCCGTGCCTGTGCCTGTGCCTGTGCCTGAGCCTGAACGTGGACCTGCGCTTGCACTTGCGCCTGCGTCTGCGAAGAGGTTGGAGGCGGTGGTGGAGGACCATGGGCGGGCGCGACGGGCGCGGCGGCGGCGGCGGACGTCATGGCGGTTGACGGCAATGACGGTGACCGTGTGACGACGGAGGAGGGATGGCGGGCGTGGTGACGGGACGGGACGGTGCCGAATCAGTCGGGTGCCGGAAAGGCAGACGCTGAGGGAGGCGGTCGACAGTCACCCACGCGTGGCAGAAAAAGATGGCAAAACCGGACGACGTTGTGGACTCGGACTTGCAGGATTGGGAGACAATGACGGCGGAAGGAGGACGTTGAGCAACCGGGGGAATGCGCGTGGGGCAGCCGAGGCGAGGACGAGATGGGAGGATGCAGGCTTGCTTCAAACTGCCTGTCAGGCTAAAGTCTGTGCAGCAGTAACAGCAACACAAGCAGCGTGTAGTGTAGCAGCAGCAGCAGCAGCAGCAGCAGCAGCAGCAGTATGTACCGGTATCAAGGTCGGGCGAGGTAGGTCAGAGTTGTAAGAAGGAGGTTTGTCTGCGACGCGATGCAGCTTGGAGTGCTGTAGTGGACGCTGACGACTTGCCGGATAGTGGTGGCAGTGGATATGGGATCCATGCAACTGAACTGAAGTGGAAATGCACCGCACGGTTTGACGGGGCGGCTGGCGGCAATGGAACCCTGTCTGGCTGTGTGGTCTTTGACTCTCTTGTTCCTGTCTTGACGTGACCAGTCCTGTCGGTTCCTGTTCCTGTTCCTGTTCCTGTTCCTGCTCGCCCACTTCCTTGGCCAGACTGATCGAAGCCAGTTAGGTGGAGGACCCGCGCACTGGAACCTAAGCCGGGGGGGTGGCTGGCGAGCTGAAAGCCCTTCCGGATGTACCAAGGGCGTGGATTGTCGCAATGGATGAAAAAGGAGAAGGAAGGGAAGGCGAACCCGGTTGTCGAAGGGCTTCAACCTGGTCGCAAAACTGTTTGCTCAGGAGATGGCTCCGTACAGACGGTATAGACGGTATAGGGCGCCGGGAGAAAGGGGGGACTGTGTGGGAGGGGATCTCGGAAGATCTGGTTCGTCGCCGGGGCGACCGGGACGTCGGGTGTCTTTGCTTTCGTCTCGTCTGGGTCCCGTCTGTTTCGTCCTGTATAGGGTACCCGTTTTCCCTGTGTGTAGTGAGAGAATGGTGCTGGTAACACTGCTGACCAAGGTGGGTGGCCGATCTGGCCGGCAGGGAGGGGGAGTGGCAGGTAAGTAACTGGACGTTGTATGTCGTTCCAATGCATCCGTCGCATACAGAATGGAACAACTGAACCAAAGAGGAAAGAAAAAAAAAAAAAAAACTACACAAAAAAAAAAAAAAAAAAAAAAGATGGCCGGGCCCTTTGACAACTGAAGCTGTGGCTTTTGCTTCCACTTCCTTCCCCCTCACAACTGAGAAAACGATTTGGGAAAGAGCAACAGGGGATCAATGGCTTCATTCCGTCTCCGGGGCGGTTTCACCCACTGTGTGGATGCCTCTATGTCACACTGTACGTTGGCAGTGCAGTGCCGGCCGCTGCAGCATTCCAGTCGCACTTATGTAGCTTTTTTTTTTTTTTTTTTTTTTTTTTTTTCATCACGATTATTCCTTACAAGTCACTGTACCACGACCCATCCGATCCCTTTTCCTGCCGCATTGGATCGATTTGGAATGCCGTGCCTTACCTCATCCTCAAGGTCCTGTGTTTACAACAATGCCGGAAAATACAACCGAGATCGCAAGTCAGTCTCTTGACCTACCTCTATCTGTTACGGTTGAGGGTTTCACACCGACAAATACTTGTAGAGTTATCCAGGATAGCCAGTGTTCCAACCTGAGTCTGCAACGTCTCTTGCTGCAATGGAAAGCAGCCATGTCCTGGCAGCGGCTGTGCTCGCCTCTGATATATACCATCTGACTGTCTGTCCCCTGGCATTAGTGCAGAGGTACCTTACCTGCTACAGGAGGTAGACAATGTACACTACTCTAGACTTCAATGGCACAGGTCTAGATCCTGTCATGATACAACCTTACATCTCCAACCTTTTCGGTCTTCGATCTCCGGCTTTCCACTGTCGTCGGATAGGAGGGGATATTCTAGACTATTGACTGTTGTCTTGGATGTTCGACTGCTTAATTTTTGTTAGACATGGGCATCCACGAGAAGATGGCGGGTGTTTTCTCCTAACTAAACCTTCGCGTACATGCACCTTGCTTCTAACTAAGTGTCAGATCCACCACAGCACATGACCCTAATCCAGAGTTCCACTTGACTTTTACTTTATTACAGTAGTGCATGTCTATGAACAGTTGAAACAAAACCGTCTGTCATGATGGGATTTGGACATTGTGTGACAAGATCGACGCACAATTAGGTTGGGACTGCGTTCAACAACAGGAAAGGACGGAATGACGTACTAGGTCAGCGTAGGAAAGGTACCACCAAGTCAGTGTTTCTCACCCACTGCAGCGGGTAACATGCTACGGCGACTCGGTGCAGTGCGCAGCACGCAGCACGCAGTGGGTGTAACCGGCGCACAGGGCAGGCGTCGTTTCCACTTTGTCCTTTTGTACTCGACAGCGTTTTGAGTTTGAAATAGGTATTTCAGATTTCTCAGACAGTCCTTACCTAGCTGATGTGGAGGGGATCATAATGCTTCTGTTCCCTTCTCTCCATTGTCCAATATCATTGTGGAATGTTCTCTTCACTTTATTGCGCTCCAACCTCTCTGTTCAACAGCAGCCCAGCCACCATCTTGCCCACAAAAATCCACCTTGTATTGTCAAGTGCTGGAAAACTGCCACAGGATTTCACGATGCCGCCAATCCATAATTCCAAATATAGTACCTACACAGTGCTCCCACGAATCATGTTCCCCAAGGCAAAAGATCCCGCCGTTCAAGTTCGTTGTTCTCACACCGAACTGTAAACTCAAAAATCACAACAACAAAGACAAATAGCGTACGCAGTACACTACACGACACCGCAATGAATACCCAACGAAGCTTGCAGAAAGGACACGAATGGCGAAGCGTGCATCGTCGTCACTTTCGCCTCTCCAAAAAAGGAAAGATTCCCAACGCTTAGAGTTGATGGCTGCTCACCTGACAGGTCAAAGGCCTTGCATGGGTCCAAGAGGTGCCCACGATACTACACCCCATCTGTCCACAACTTGAATCATGGAAGGCTTTTTGAAGCCGCGATCGTCTCTGATCGCCCAGCTGGGACCGCAGCCGGTATTCAAAGTCCAGACTCAATTGGACTGTCACTATGACCAACGACTGCTTTCCCCGTACAGTCGCGTGGTTTCCCAAGACTCCAACGCACATCATTCCTGGCACGCCCGCAAGAGCTCGGAAACCCTAACTACATACACTTTAGTGTGCTATTCTCCAGAATTGGGGAGAGGGGAACCAGGCCACAGAGCGTCCGTCCCGTTGCAGCTTCACGACAACATGACATTTGGTCGGCACAGAGGAGAGGGTGAGACAAGCGAAACATGCTCATGTGGTCAAGGTTGAGTTTCCCCCTCACTTCGCCAAAGACCAAGCATGAACATGTCATGCGCCACACTTGACAAGAGATGATAAAATGGCTTCGCTTCGCCGCCAGGTTCCGCAGACGCGTTCACCGTGCGAAGAATTCCCACAGCTTCAGCACCCTTTTTGTATCCTCAGACCCCAACTTTGAGCTTCGTAGCGTAGACATGGGCGAGTTCAGGCTCGGCTCATTGTATTCTCACCGCTTGATGAAGTTTACCTGAGCCGCCTAAAAACATATCAGATTGCGATTCACCCCTTAGCCGACGGACCGAGCTTTTGCCGCGACAAGGCAGCTCCACCTAGAGCCTCCAAGCCAAGTTGTGCGTTTGGGATGGTGGATGTATCAAAACCACAACGATGGGGGACGGGACACAAACAAGGCCACCTCGAATTGCCACAACGGCTTGAAAGTCAAAAAGCATGTTGCACCCATCAACTGCGGGTCTTGTTTCATCTTTCATATGCGGGCAAGACATATTCCTCCCTGAACACGAGATCCTTCCCGGGTGGACGTCATAGGCTGACTCTGGCTGAGGCTGCATGTAAGCCCACGATATGTACTGCTGTTGGTGTTTTGATTTCCGGTAACACACCAGTGCTTATAAGCACTTAAAAGGCGATGAACACTACTACAGTAATGAAGAAAGAGGGCGTCCGCACCATATCTCACTAACCGCAAATAACCGTCAATGGGAGAAATGGCTCACATCCCAGCACTTTTTTTTCTTCTCACCACAAAGCCATGGCCACAGTAACGAAGCCTTTCGGTAGTAACACAAGACACGGAGAGATAAAACAGCCCAATGGACATCAGTCCCTACGAGCCAGCGGACATGCCGTCGTTGTACAATACCATACTTTGCACACAATCAGTCCTTCCCTTCACTTCCCCGCCCTGCTGAATGGTGGGTGATACAGGGACGAATTGCCGGATACCTAATGGGGATTTTATTGTCCACAGGCAAGACAACGGCAAAACCTCAGATAACAAAGTGCCAGTGAGGCTCTTCTGTTTGCCTATGCATAGTAAATGTCTGTTTTTAGTAGTGGTTCCTCCAGTTGGCTTCGTTGGCCTGAACTGGATCGTAAGGAGTGATGTCATTCCTCACCATTGGCGTCGGCTATGGTTGCAGTAAAGACTGTTGCCGGTTGAGCTGCCTGCAGTTGTGCAGTGCAGTGGTACAATGTTAAGAGCGAACGTTAGCGCACAGACCTTATTTGCTACTGTACTGTATCCCCCGGTCTTGCCAAGCCTTGATGCCAAGCGCCAAGCATCGAGCTCTCTGCCGGGCGGTGAATTTTTAGAACTGCAGCTTCAATCCATCCGACTCGTTTCTGCCCGTCGCGCGCAGCGGGCCCTAGGTAGGTACGACATCGACATCCATCCATCCATCCATCCATCCGTTATCGATTCCACCTCTGCCAACCGACCAGGACCTTACATCCATACTACAACTCGAGATTCCACAAGAGTTCGGAATCATCACCGAACGACAACACCAAATCGACAACAATGGATGGGTAAGCAAGAGAGCAAGGGAAACAACAGTCACCTTGTGGTTTTTTTTTTTACGACAAGGAGAACAAGACTGGAAACCCAAAACTAACGTCATCGTCAAACTTTCCATCAAAACAGACTTACAGCCGCCGAGAGCCGCGAGCTCGACCAGCGCCTTCAGAAGCGCCAGGTCAAGGAGTTTATGAGTGTACGTCGTATATACACACTTTCTTTCTTCGTTACACATTTGCGCCACCAATATTCTTCCATCTTCGAATCGTCGCTACATCTTAGATCCAAACATAGCTACCGTCATCACCAATCTTTACTATCCCCCGGTCTTCCACCATCCATCCCCCAACTATCCCATCTACTCGCACCTACTCCCAAACTGTTTCCCACCCCTCCTCCTCCTTCACCTCCTCCTCCTCCTCCTCCTTCCTTTCCACCTATTTCCGAACCGTTACACCTCAATTTCCCCATCCATCCTCCCCCTCCAACACCACCCCTCTCCAAGCCTCCGTCTGCTCTCCCATCTATCCCAAAACCAACCAAACCTCTTACTAACATTCCCCCTCCCTCTCTCTCTTCTTTCTTCTAACAACAAACAAACAGGTCTTCGGTAACCTCGTAGACAACTGCTTCACCGCCTGCGTCGACGACTTCACCTCCAAGGCCCTTTCCGGCCGCGAGTCCGGCTGCATCAGCCGCTGCGTGCTCAAGTCCATGTCCACACAGACGCGCCTGGGCGAGCGCTTTGGCGAGCTCAACGCTGCCATGACTGCTGAGATGCAGAGGCGGTAAAAAAAACTATACACTGTACTACAAGAAGGAAAGGAGAAAGGGGAAGGAAGGAAGGAAGGAAGGAAGGAAGGAAGAGGGGTTGAGGGGAAAAAAAAAATTGTGTATAAATAGGTTCGGTTCGGGAAATAAATTGGGTTGACGACGATGAGTCGAGGTGCGCATGCATGCATGCGTACCATACATACATACCGTGAAGGATATTGTGAGTGAAGGTGCTGGTTGGGTGCAGAATGAGAATGAGGTGGTGAGGAATACCGGTTTTCTGTTGTGGATGGATATGGAAAGAAGAAGAAGAAGAAGGGGGGGGGGAGAGGGGGAGATGGATGGTATTGAATACCTGGGATGGATGGTGTCGAAGATGAGTCCTAGTTTCTGCCAGCTTTGGCTAGGTAGGAAAAGTTGAAGGTGCTTCTTTTTGACATCTATGGATATGACAATTTTCACAAAAAGCCTTGGAGGGGACAACGGAGGTAGCCATTATTGTTGTACCTCTGGTAATCGTGAAGCGTGATACCGACGGGGAGGGATCTGGTACATGATGTGTGGTAACGAAAAGAGACTCGAACGAAAAGTTTGGCATCGAAACGGATTGATACAAAAGTCAAGATATTCAAATCTGGCTGCGTGTGATGATATAACAAATCTTTCTGCGTGGTTACATTGTGATTTTGTGGGATTGCATTGGCAATAGACCTTCTCCTTATTACCATACTAGAGGACGGGCGAGTCCCTCACGAATGAATTTCCAAACTGTACGGTCATCATGCGCATAGCCACCCAAAAGAACATTTTTCAAGGGAAAACTGTCGAAATGCTATATGAACCTAAAACCATCAGGGCAATCACGCCCAAACATCAGCTGTGCAAAGTAACACACCACCTTTTCAATACCGCTTACGACTTGAAGTAAACAAAAACACATAAACTCAGTCTCCTGCTACACTGCCTAGCAATCCAACCATATCCCTTACTTTTACACACAATTATCCATCTGACAGACCGCAGCGTCCCATAACACATCACCACCTTTCAACATCCACCCCTTTGCCATCATCATCACTTCCTTCCCTCAATGACTGTAAAACACCTTCTACGCACCCTCCTCCGCCTCACCCAACGCCAACACCTCCGCCACACCACTCAACATCTCCACCGCCTTCTCTTCCAACTTATTCTCGCACGCCGACCCCTCCGACGCTTTCTGGCTCCTCCACTCCATCTCCCTTTGCCCCAAAGGCACCAACCGTTCCCTCAACACCTTCCTGCTGCCCAGCCAAAACTCCACATTCTCCAACAGATTTTGTCTGGCCTCGTCTTCCCACCCTCCGGTAATCTGCGGGATGTCTCTTGCCGAGTGGCCGCCGACATTGGTCATCCTGATGACTGACAGGACGCGGGTGAGGAGGGCGAGGGAGTGGATTTCCGAAATGGCGGTTAGGGTGATGAAGCCTGACATGTCCTTGTTATTGTTGGGACCACCCGAGATGGAGACAGACTTGGAGGGCGAAAAGGTGCGGTGGGTGCCCGGTGCTTCGAACCGATCCACGGCCGCGCGCAACAGATTAGGGAATTGATTCAGCACGTAAGCGATCTCAGGGGCGATGGTGGCACCCAAGGCACCGAGCATGTTGAGTAGTAGAGGCAGGATGCCCTTGGCCCAGATGGAGTAGCAGCGGGCGGCGCCGGCGTTGTCAGCTAGAGGGCCGACGTTGGGGCGGCGCATGAAGCCGGCGAGGTTAGCGGACGTGATGTGGTCTAGCAGGCCGTCGCAGGCGAGCTGCTCAGCGATAGTGGGCATGGAGGAGAGCTCAAGCAGGAAGAGCAAGGAAAGCTCGCCGTAGATGGGGTCGCCCGACTTGTCCGTCAGCTTGTCGGCCCAGGAGAAGAGCGAGGTGGCGACTTGGAAGACGTCGTGGCTGGCCATGATGTTGAGGATTTGCACCTGGCACTGGTCAATGCCGGGGACGCTCAGGCAGGCTTGCAGGATCGCGGTGATGAGGGCAAGGTCCTCAGGCGTGGTGGGCGAGGTGGGTTCATGCACCAGCGCGACGAGGGACCTGAAGGATTGGGCGACGACGCGGTCAAGGATGCTGAGGGTCAGTTGGGTGACGGCCACGGAGCTGCTCTCACCACCAGACTTCGACAAGGTGGAGGCGCCGGGCGCAGGGGCATTGACCGAGTGTCTGGTTCCACGGAGAGCGACGAAGAGGATCTTGAGGAGGGTGCGGAAGTAGGAGATCTGGTCCTTGTCGAAGGGAACCTCAATATTATTGATGGCCCTTGTGATGCTGGTGAGCAGCTTGGTGCTGTCTTTAGGCAGGTGAGAAGCATCAGCGAGGCGTTGAAGAAGCGTCAAAGCCAGGTTTGCCCGAGCGTGAACCAATCGGACGAAGATGTTGTCTGGCGGCTGAGCCCGTTGGTTGGCATCCAAACATTGCTCAGCGACCTGTGCCATCTGCTTGGCGACGGTTTCGTTCTTGGGGAGAAGCGAGACGCTAAGCTCTAAAAGTAGATACTCCCAAGCATGGAAAAGGGCCTTGAATCATTGTTAGTATTTGTTATCGCTCGAGAGGAAACACAGAAAAACTTACAATCTCAGCCTCCACCAGAGACAAGTTCACATTAGCCCTCTCCATCTCATGCTTGAAGCCGTTCTTGCGCGACCCATCCCATGCCACATCGTAACTGAGCATCAAGTCGGCAAAATCCAAGGCATAGTAAAATTGGGAACCTAGATCACGAGGAACAAGAACTGTCCTCTTGAAATCCTCTACCGAAATTCCCGGGTATCGTTGGCTAAAGTTCTTTGCAAAGTTAGAATGCAACGAGGCGTTGTACCCCGAAACCTCAACTCCGTTACGCAGGAAGTAATCGAGATCGTTCACGACGTCGTTCGCAAACTTTTGTGATTGCCGCATCTGACGCAGATGGTACAGCTGCATGGCAAATGCCTCGGCGATGTAAGCTGCTATCCTCGCCTGGTAGGCAGCCTCCTTGGGGTCTGTCCTAGAGACCATCGAGGGCGACTTGAGATCGCGGACATATGCTCGGAGGTCGGTCAGGAAGGACATATCCTTCTGCATGGCGAAGATCGTCCAAGGCCAGTAGTTCTGGGCCGAGGTGAAAAAGTCCAGAATGGCGATGGCCTCCCGGCTTGGCAACTTCTTGATAAAGCGAAGTTTCTCGATGGCCGTGGAAAGAACCGAGTCGGGAGAGATTTCTGCAATCTTGCCATCGCCCTTCAAGGCCTCGCGAGGAGTCTTTCCTGTAAGGAGGCAGTTTGCCATCCACTGTTGACGATTCCGCATTATTGTCGAAAAGAACTTCCATATATTGACCGACTCTGGTACCCTGTCAAACGGCTTATCCAGCTGTGAAGTGATCTGGATGAATGACCGCGAGATTTGTGGCCCAAGGTATCCCAGCAGTGATGGAGGTTCGGCGTTGCCCTTCCCGGCACTTTCTACCAGCGCACTCAGGAGAGCTATCGCCGGTATCTTGAAGGACAGCCTGATAGCAGGAAGACGGGCGACCAGAGACGCAGATTTGAACAGCTGCGTCTGGAGCTTGCTGACAGGCAGATCGAGGTAGTTGGAAACCCGGAGGAGAATGGTTGCAAAGTCAAGGACAACTAAGAGTCTCTCCGAGACGACGGCAGCCCGGCGGGGGTAAAGAGTCGAGTCAGGGATTTGGAAGGCAACAAGAAGTGTCGCTAGAAGAGGTTGGAATCGGAGTGAGTTTGACGAAGCGGTGACAAAGCTTTCGAGAACGTATCTAGCGGCAGGTTCAAGAGAGCCAGTCAAGGTATTCGAAGGCCCGCTCGCGCTCAGGTTATAGGTGTATGAAAGGAGCTTCTGCATGATACCCACCACATCACGAACCACAACACTGCGGTCCAGCTCGGATGGGAATCTCCACGTGGCCGAATTCTCGATGATATCGACCGCGGTCTGGGCGATGGCAAGAGAGACCCGAGAGATCACCTTTTCGCTTGTTCCTAGCCATGCGTTTGTGTCGACGTTGGAACGAGCATTCGTCTCCTTTACGACCTTGCGCTGAACTGCACCGAGCATTGCTATTTCAATCAGGTTCGAGAAAAACTTGACGGCGGAAGAAAGGAAGTCGAAGCGCTCAGACAACATGTCAAGGTTTCCGGTAATCCTGGACAGCCGTCCAGCTCTTGTCTCGCCATTGATGAGGGCAGTTCTAGACATGTAAGCCCAAACCCTGCCTGGGCACACAGGCAGTGCGGCATCAAGGAACTGTAAGCAGGCTGCCAAAACCGCCGTTCTGGGGCCATCAACGTTGACAAGATCGTCTTGGATGATGGTGTCCATAAGGTCACAGACAACCGTCAGGATGTCTTTGGTGTGTGGTAGCGCTCTGCTCGCCTCTTTCAAGACTGCCATGCCAGCCTCGGAGCCAGCCCTCGAAACGGTCACGGCAGTCCTGAGAGTCTCGACTCGGACAACGGTTGCCAAAAGTAGTACCGATTCCGCCACCTCATCAGCACTAAGTCCCGGGAGTGCACTGCTGTATGCGTCAGCCTTCAAAGACACCTCAAGACGCTTGCCCAGGAGGGCCAGGGCCGAGTGCTCGTATTCCAGTATGGCGATCCTCTCGCTATCCGAGACGAAACGTCCAACAGTGCCGGCAGGAATGGTAAACTTTTCCTCCTTTTCGGGGCGCCTCCTGGTAACCTTGGAGGTATCGAAGAGGTCAAGGTCGCCAATCAACTGGAAAGAGTTGATGTTCTCGTCCTCGAAGATAAGTTCGTAATTAACCCAGTCAGGACTCCATTCCAAGGTCAAGGTGGGAGATTTGAGGAGCAGACCGATCACCCACTCGGAGTTTTCGCTGTCTGCGAGGAGGCCCGTCAACAGAGCCCGAGTGAATGAGACGAAGGGCAGGAATTCGTAAGGGTAACGGCTGCGAGCCTGCAAGAGATAGTTCTCCTTGAGCTCGTCATCCCGAAGCATGACAGAATCAACTTCCTGGTTTGGGGACAGTGCATTTTTGGGAGAAATATCCCAGTACTGCCTCCCTCCGGACAGTACGGTAAGGAGACAGGAAACGGTATCATTTTGGTACCCCACGATAGGGAAGCTCTTCTTGAGGACTTCGAGGAAAACGGCCCGCGCGCG